TGTGTTTGAAGCGGAGATAATAGCTGTCAAATGACAAAAATAAAACAACTTAGTAATGAGTTTCATGCCCTTTATTCAAGGGAAAACAATCCATGGATTGAGGGAGTATAATGTCTCTCAAGCAATTGTCCTGCTCTTCCCAAGGGGTATTTGGACAAAAGCTAGTTAGCTGTTAGAAGAGGCAACAAGGAAACAGGGCCTGTGCAGTGTAAGTCCTGAGAGTTGTTTTTCTATTTGTAATGCAAGTGCCTGACTTAAGCTTTCATTATGGAGGCAACCACTTCAAAGAGGTATTTACTTCAAAGATGACTATCTGTAATAAACACATTGACAGCCCCACAGCTAGATAGAGAGCCAAGCCTCCTTCCCCATTGAGGCTCCTGTATTTTAGAGATCTTGATTGATTTTAATAACTGTCTATTTGGGTCATGTATTTTTTCTCTTCCCATGCTTTAAATTCCTGCTCTTATGTTTTAAATTCACCAATAAAGGGTGTGCTGGAGAAGCCCTAGGTCCCCCACTCTCAACCCCATTAATATTGAAACCCAGGTCCATGAACTCCACGCCTGCCACCCCCGCACACACAGTACACTGCGTGGCCCCAGGTGTGCAGTGTAATTTCCAGGTCTCCTAGGTAACAAACCTTAATTTTTTTTCAGTTTCCTGATGGTTATTGCCGAAGGATGTTTTGAAATTATAATAAGAACTACAAGGCCTGGTCCAACCACAACAATGGTTATCCATAGGCTGAGACCAGCACAAAACAGTCTGATTGGCCAAGAGGTTTGGAATTTCCTTGTAAGACTAGCAAGTCAATCTGGGATTAGAAAAGAGTATTTGGTTTAAATTGAATGACTGGGGTTGGATTACTGACTTTATTTAAAACAAGGAAACCATTACAGATCTGGCATCGAGGGGTTGGCTGACTGAATAGCATAGCTTTTACAGGGACATGAAAGTTATATAATTTTCAGTTTGCTGACTTGGCACCTGGGGCAGAGAGAAGCTCTTTCTTGAACCAAGAAATTTATTTCAACATAGCCTAACAATGGGAATTCAATAAAGTGTGCTGTTTCTTTTTCTTTTTTTTCTTTAGGCGAGGCAACCCTTGGTTGACCTCACAGATTGCAAAGACCTTGTCAGTTTATGATCCTTCAATTTTTTATTTTTTATGCATACAGCACGTGGTCTTCCTAGGTGGTCTCCCATCCAAGTACTAACCAGACCTGACCCTGCTTAGCTTTGTTGTTTTTATCCTAAACTCCTCTAAAGTTCCTCCTTTCTCTCCATCTTCACTGCTGCTCTCCTGCCTTAGGAACCATCATCGCTCAGATGACTTAATGCAGTAGCCTCCTAACTGGTCTTGCAGTTTTCTCTCTTGCCTGCCTCAAACCCACTCTGCATACAATGGCCTGAGTGATGGTAAAGGGGAGCAAAATTTACCATCTCCAAATATGTCACTTTGGCTTGAGGATTAATTTGAGCTCAAGGCAGTCAAAACTCAGCAGACACAAGAAAAACTATCTCCCCCTCAACTGCCTAAATTTACATTGGAAAAGGGACCTGTGTGAGAAAGAAAGCTATCACCAAAGATATTTACCTAAGAAATCATTTGCATAACAGAGAGACCTTTGTTTTCTGAACTTCTTTTCTTGTCTTCCTGTGAATGGCCTTTCTACTTTTGTAACCCCAGACCCCTATTCTTTTCTTAGTTTAGGATGTTATTTAAGTTTCAATTACAGGGTGGCCTTTTGAGTCTTCCTACCTTTATGGGGCTCTCATACATGCATAATTAAATTTGTTTTTTCTTCCTGTTAATCTGTCTTTTATCAATTTAATTATTAAAAACCAGCCAAAGAACCAAGAAGGGAAGAAGGAAAAAAGGACATTTTCATTTGTAGAGGACAAAACAACTCATTAATTGGGAAGGCACTGACTTTAATCTGCTCTTCTTCTTATCGTACTTTTCCTAGTCACCTTTTAATATCTTGCCTTCCCTCCCTCCTCAGAAGCTCCAGACCTCTTTTCCTTTAGCCTAAGATGATATATAACCCTAAATTCTAAATATCTTTTTGAGATACACATCCCAGAGTTTCTCCCATGTGTATACGAGACATACATGTTAACAAACTCCTATTTTCTCTTGTTGATATGTCTTTTGTTATAGAGCCCCATTCAATAACCTGGAAGGGTAGGAGGAAAAAGATTTTTTTCCTCCTCTACAACCATATGCCATTCTAACTCTATAATTTATCGAGTTCTCTTCTTTCACCTTTAGTTGTATTGTTAGCCTAGACTAAGTTTTCTCTACTTTAGCGCTATTTAGGGCAGAATAACGCATTGCGGTGAGGGGCTGTCCTGTGCACTGTGGGATGTCGTGCAGCATCTCTGGCTTCTACTTCTAGATGGTAGTAACATGCCTCCACTTCTGGTTGTGGCGACCAGAAATTTCTCCACACATTGCCAAAGGTTTTTAATGTTCAGTTAAATACCAATTTTGGTTAAGTAATACATAATTTTTTAGTATAAATATAACCTATCTACCGTTTCAGAAATGTATCTAACATTCAAATTTAACCGCACACCTATATTTTTAGCTGCTAAATATGGCTGTCCTATCTGGAGGCAAAATCATCCCTGGGCAGAGACTACTGGCCTAGAGTTAAATATGTGTTTTACCAATCACAATGAGTCAGTTACTTTTTTACTGGCATGTTTTTAGAGTCAGCCCTACATTGAAAGAGTTCAAATTTCCTAATCATGAGTACTGTGCCTTTAACACCAGACTGTAGGGGAGAAAAAATATTTTCTCTACCCTTACAGGTTCTTGGCTGAGAAGCCTCCACCCCTATATTAAAGACAGGTAAACAAGAGAAAGAAACAGAAGTTTAATAACATGTATAACTCATGTTTACCTAGGGGATATCCAGCGAAATTGAGTAAAACTCCTTGAAATGGCCCAAACCACTAGTTTAAATGCTGTCTTCACCTAAAGATGACAGAAAGATGTTGGAGACAGTTATGGGAGGTTAAGGAAAAGCATGGCAAACAAGGGTAAGATTTGTTATACAAGGTCTGTGCCTTCTCCACCAATAAGTTTCCAGAGATTTAGTCATCTTTCTCTTCTTTGTACAGACAGGGAGACACTTTTGCAAATGGAGATTTCTTTTATAAATTTAAATATCCCTTACGAAAGGTTACATTCTGCTCTGTTTTCAGACGTTCTCCTGTGGGTCTGTAGGTCCTCAAAAATAATCATTTCAAAATCATCTTTATGCCAAAGAGGCAAATTATAGAATAAAATATTCTGCTACCCTGTCATGATGCAGTGAAAAGAGAGATGCAGAATCCAGTTAGATGAGTTGTGGTCCTGATGGAAAATTTAAAAAACCTTCAAATTCAGTCAGGGAGGAAAAGATTTGGACGAGGGGGCTAGCAGCAACCTTAGTAGAGTAAATGAGAGTGAAAAGTTCTGTCCACACTAGTCAGTTAAAAGAAGTTACAAAAGAGGTTATGAAAGATTTGCATAAGAGGGTGCTGTACTCAATGGAAATAACAATGTTTAAGTCAATGGGAAGGACACTTGAATTTCTTAAGAAACTAAAGAAATGCAAAATCAAAGCAAGCCAAAGAGGAAGTCAGCTGCAATCTTAGAGGGTATTGCAGACTTCCTGTCTCCAACAGAATTAGCAAATTCTTAAACTCCTGCAAGATTGGGCCCAAGTCCAAGTCCATGGTAAAGTATGTAATTCTCGTTATAACAATTATAAAAATGACTAATTATGTCCATCAGCAGAGTAGAAAGAACTTCCCTGAATAATCTCAGCACTTGAATCCTGGCCTCTAGTCTTGGCCACTAAAAAGCCTTAACTGATTGAAACAATCACATCAATTTGTTTGGAAGGATTGAACTGTGTCTTTCATGGGTATGTGTGGATATTTTAATTCTGGGAAAGTTTAACACTTTGCTGATTGTGTTAAATTCAGAGAAAATTGTGAATATCTAGTACTATATTCAGTGTATAAAATGTTTACAATGCTTAAGAGATTTGGCACATTAGCATATTTAACCGAGTAGCCTGGCGATTCCATTTAAAATGTGTAATAGAGTAATTGATTTTAGACATATGATTTTTAATTGAATATTATAAAATATTTATTATTACTATAATTTACTAGATTTATAAGACTAATTAGCTAGGAAAGTATTACTTGTTAGGATCAGAATTAATGTGCTTAAAAAGGAAAATTAAATATGGTAATACTATAAGTAATTTGAACCTTTTAAGATAATTTAACGAGGTTATAAATAGGACTGATTCTTCAAAGAGTTTAGTTTTCCCAATTTTACCTACTTAAATTTCACTCAGAGATGCCCTTGGAAGTGATTATGAACACATTTATATATATAAAATAATATATATATTTATAAAAAATAAAATAATTTACGTATATAAAGTAAATAACATGTATGATAGCTTATAAATTGACCTTAATTTATGAAATTTATTATTTTTATTAGTTTATATTAATCAAAAACATCAAGGAATAATTAACTTATCTGTACTTAAAAATAGCAAATAAGCCATAGCAACAGTTTTGAAGGTTCTTTTTCATGAAAGTCAAGCCCTATGGCAGACATACATGGTTCTAACAAGCGAGAAGTGTTGGTCTCTAGCCTTTCTCAACAGCTGCTGAAAACCAGATTTCAGTTAGGAAATGTCCTAAACACATTACCTTATTTTGAGTCCTTGATCTTTCCTGTCAGTATAAGAAATTTTTTTTTCCTTCACAACTTTGCTTCCTTCTTTCCACTTGCTACAAGTGGCGGAGCAGATATTACTCAGAAACTGGTTTCTCGGGGTTGTAATATTAGATGATGCACAGCGTGGGTCATTACACAGTAAACTAATGCCTTTGTTTCATTGGGTTGGGCCTTCTAGAAGGTGGTGTCGCTGCCTGTGTTGCTGGAAAAGCACTCGCAGGTGTGGAAAGAAAGGGGTTGCCACCGACTTGAGCTTCTAGGGACCTTTCTCTCTGCCAGTAAGCATTTTGATATTAATCAGAAATACCTTTAGAAGATTCTAGAAGCTGCGGAGGTGAAGTAAATCTGTGAAGGACCAGCATGGGAATCTTATACTCCGAGGTATGTAACCTTTCTGAAAGATTTCAAAAAGGGGTTAGAAGTTGCTCATGTTTTTAAAACGTAATTTCCCATCCCTGTTACTGTCTCCTTTTCTTCTGTTTAACTTTCTGCAAGAATATCAAGTCAAAACAAAGTTCTGTGTTAATCTTTTTTACATTTTTAATATTTTAAGGCAAATTATTTTGCAGTTCCAAAATGTTAACTAGTTGTAAATAGAGAGTAATTATGATACACGTTTCATAATATCCTGATATTTCCAGGGGTAATTTGTACTTCGCAAAATGGAATTTGAGTTGTGTTTTTCTGACGTAAAACATCCAGAGAAAAAGTGAAAATCGTACCTAACTGGATTTCCCAAATATGTAAAAGATAGACTGGTTCTTTTATGGAAATGCATATACAGAGTAACATCTTTTAGCTTGGTATTTGAAAGGAAACTCATCACTAACAATTATTAAGAATTACTTTCCCTGTAAAGAAGAGAAGTAAAAACAATATATTTGATGTATTTTTGAGTTTTTTCTTTTCCAATCTGATGGATACAAAAAAATGCTTCCTCTTGTGTTTGAAAGTAACTTAATTAGAATCAAATAGATTTTTAATAATGTTTCAAAGCAGTACAAGCGAGCGTTTAAACAAGTACAAGTGGTGTCATGCTGTTAGTATGCACAACTCATTCCCTCTCCTTTGTCACAATTAACCAGTTAGTCCGCATTTCATTCTGGATGCTCAACAGAACCTCATTGGCTGGTTCTAGTACTAAAGGCAGTTTCTCCCATTTGCAGTTATTTCTAATGCCAGGGTGGGTGGGTGTGTGTGTGTGTGTGTGTGTGTGTGTGTGTGTGTGTGTGTGTTTGTCTTTCTATAGTCAATGTGTTTTTGATTAGTTTATAATTCTAGGTATGTCTTGCCCAGTGACTTTGGTATGGTAGTGACAATACCTGTAGTGTTCTAAAACGCTACTCTGGTAATTCTCAAGCTCTAGATTGCCAAATGTCAGCAAGAGAAAGTTGTTTAAAATGCAGTTTCAAGTGCCCCCACCTCAGAGAGTCTGTTTCTCTCAGAAACCTATTTTTAGAAGAGCAGCCAGGTGATTCTAATGTTAGGTGATCAGTTTACCACCTGTTGGAGAGAAACACTGCTCTAGGATAGTGGTTTTCAAATATTAATGTGCACACAGATCACCCCAAGATCTTGGTCAAATGCAGATTCTTATTCTGTAGGTCTGGGTGGGGCCTAAGATTACGCATATCAGCTTCCTGATGCTTATGCTGTCAATCCACATACCACACAGTGAGTAGCCAGTGGGTAACTAGCTTGTACTCTAGGCCCTGGGGATAATTAAATTAAACATAAAAGTCTGCAAGAGCAGTGCAATTCTTTTTTGATTGAGTGTTGAACTGACAAGTGACTGAGGCGAGGCAAGGCAAAACTTGTTGAATTACTTACAGATATCAGTGAGAATATGCCCAGAAGTGGAGTATATGCTTTACTTTTCAGGTGTATTGAGGACAAAGCAACTTGAAATATACTATGATATTAGAAAAAAAAAAACACACACACACACACACACACACACACACCCCTTAACTTACCTAAAAGTTCATAGGTAATTATTCAAAGCTCAAAATTAATATCGAATCAAGCATAGTCTAAGATAGTGTTGAAATAAATATTGTTGCCATGCATCCCAGTATCACAAGAGGAAGTAGATTTTAGGCTCTTCCATGAATTTTACTCACTCGTCTACTTTTGCATCAGCAATATAAAACACAAATACTTGAAAACTCAGTCATTTCCAGAAAAAAGATCTGTCCACCTTTTTGGCAAGTAATTTCTCGAGTTTTAGTATTTCCCCTTGATAGTAACTACTTCTACCCTCTCCACTCCTGCCCCTCTTCTCCCCCGCCGCCCCGCTATTTTTTTCTTCTTCCTCTTCTTTTTGGGTAAAAGTAGCCATCAATGAGGATATATAAAGGTACTTGCAAAACTAATTTGAGTAGCAGGTTTGTTTCAGGAATAAATGTTTGATTTTCCAGAGTG